AATTGTTTTTTCATAGGCTAAAAATGGTCGTTTGTTCTTTTTGGATGTGGTTTTTAACAACACGAAGCCTACTTTGGAGGGTAATAATAACATGTAAACGATATCAAATTTCAAACTCAGAATATTTTGGGACTAAGAACTAAGGTCCAACAAATTAATCAAGGAAAAAAACATGCCATTCATACTTAAACCGATACTTTTTTTAACATTCAATTTGTAGTTAAAATGCAAGATTGTTAATATGCTAAATATAATACTTAATAAAATAGTCATAAAGATTAAACAAAATTTATAACTCAATTACATATTACGTAAAACTTTTCCACTCTAATCTAAGGGCAATTTAAATCATAAGTGTTGCTGAAATCAAAAGTGGGGTACATAGTTTCATTCTGTGACCAGGATGCCAATTCATTAGTCCTTATCCCCTTGCTTGTCGATTTTTTCCTCCCCTATATCTGCTCCCGGAACCTCTACTCATATAATTTTTCCTCGTGTGTCCGAATTGACCGCATGTAGGATATTCTTTTTGTATAGGACACTCACCTTGTGACGGAATACGAACATTGTTTCTTGGCCTACCAAGCTGACATCTCTCTATAATGGGTGGCTTGACAATCATCTAATCATCAAGGATCTCCTACTCAGATGGGTTTCGCAAAGGGTTCACACACTCCTCATAAGTTTTCCTCGGTTTCTCTGTATGGTAATATTTTAAAGCAAATTATGAATAGTCTTGGTAATGGTTCATTGTTAGCACTTTTATCGCATGACCATAAGGCATGCCATCTATTTGCCACTGCCTACATGTACAATTTCTTTGTTGAGAATCAACAATTACATTTTTGTTAGTAGAGCTTTTCACTTCAAATCTAGTATTTGAGATTGTCTACATAATTCAATTATTACAAGCAATTTTATTTTCTTCTACATTCACATCAACCCATTGGGTGAGTGTCGTTTTCGCATCCGCTACAAAAAACATTTCATACAAGTAATAAAAAACATTTCATATCAGTAATTAATATAAAACATTAGTACCTGAAAAATTCATCTTTAGAAAACTCCCTTAGTGCATTGTTGCACGAAAAAACTCAGTCAACATCAATATTGACATCTTCTTTGCAAATCCTAACATTGAATTTATCGACTTTGTACTATATAATGTCATAAGAAAATACCGATTCCCAGGAAAATATACCCTTGCCCATTTTACTGGATTTATATTTCGTAGGTATTCCCATACACCATCATTTACCCTTCTTATTCTTTTCATACCAACATCAAAATATTTTATAGTATATGCTTTGCAGGTCTCCTCAAACATTACCTCCATCGTGTCACTATTTCCGAATTTAACTGCAATGTTGAAATACAAATAGATACTACATATTCCATGAATGGCGTAAGGAAATATATTTGCAATTGATGTGGCTATGGATGAAGCCCTATCGGATATGAATGTAAGGTCCGCCACGTTATTTATACATTCATGTAGGTTTTGAAGGAACCATAACCACATCTGCATACATTCTCTTTTGCATATGGCATAAGCAACCGAGAGTATTTGGTTCTATCCACCCGTCATTACTACAAGCAACATCGTACCATTGAATTCACCCTTTAGGTGGCCAACATCAATTATTAGGGTTCGCCTACAATATTTTAGGAAGGCGCGTACCTACAATAATTTATAATTGCATTAAAAATTAACAAGTAGGATTCGTAGGTAATATTTTTTATAAAAAAATATACCTACTTACTGAGCAACCAAGCGCGATATACATGAACTCAAATCGATCACCTCATCTGTTTTAATTTGAGTAACTGTTCTTGGATTATGTTTGACGAAGTTGTGAACATATGTTGGGATTATGTTTTTCCCGCCAAGCCTATTGGTATGTGATATTAATTGGAAATTACAAATTGATGTCCGTGACAATTTCATTACCCCGGTAAACTCTCTTATAATCTCCGACCATAACCTTAAAGATAAAGTGGCCGAGAACATGTTTCTTTGATAGTCGATGATTAAACTGCAAGTTTTTTTTTGCATAACATGTGTGTTGTTCAACAAGTTTTGTGACTTGGTAACCATTAGTCGATTTGATTCCTCTTATCGTAGTCATCCAAGAACAATTTTCAACCAAACAAACCACCTCAAACCTTTCTTTATTCGATCTGATAGTCCTATCTTGCCTATCCTCTGCCATGTATTTTGTTCCAATTACAAGCTTAAGCAACTCTTTGTTTCCAAACATGTGTAGAAGCTTGATCTCTTGACTCATGTCCACCCTCTAAGATGGAATGTTCATGTCAACATTTATGGGACACGAAGACAATGGGGGCATACCATGAAACATGGTATCTGAATAAATAAGTTTATGTTCATCATCTAATTCTTCTCCATTAGAGTTACTATCTAGGTCGGATAAATCCAACTTGTCACAATCTACAAACTCCCTGTATCCTTTTAGTTCACCATCATTCAAAAAAGGAACTTCTTCTTTTCTAGATTCATTACCGACCTCATTGACCATTGGCTAGTGATTTGTGGTCAAAGTTATGATGTATACCCACATCATTAACATATGTACTGACATCATTATCACCAACATACTTATAATTTTGTATTTCCACATACATAATTGGTTATGGCACTACGTTTACATTTTCTGCAACAATATGATATTGAGATAGATTTGGAGATATAAATGTACATATTAGGTTGTTGCTCTATTTTCTGCTGTATATGTTAGTCACATATGTTTTTCCTTTATCAACAACTTTCTTACCCCTAACACCTTCTTCAACCATCACATACACCGACACAGGTTTATCTCCAATGACATTTATTACCTTGATCAACTTTTTAATATCATGATCATCAACAATACCACAATAATACAGTTGCTCGAGATGTTGATAAGACAGTCTGACTTTTGATTCTTCGGGAATACCCATCTTACTTTTCATCAAATAAAAAATTCAGTGAATATGATGGTCTCGTAAAATTCAACACCATAATAAAACATTTTCGGACTGTATCCCAGTAACCATACATATGATAGTTATGAATTAATAAACTTCCCTCATCCGTCAGTGATAAGCAATACGGAATACTCGGTTAAACTTGTTCTATGAATTTTGAGAGAAAACAAGCTAAAGAAGAAAAACCACGAACTTTTAATCTGATAAATATGATTCTTCTAATGTATGTAGTAGGTACAATATATTAGTCGACTTTTACAAAAAGTAGTCAACTTGTACAAAAAAGTTGTAAAAAAAACAAAATCGTAAGTTTCTGTCATGAAACCATATGTTTTTGAAATCTTAATATCTTGGAGGTTGTATGTTATCGAGAGCATACCATAAGTTTTTTGAAACCTCCTACTTTCGTTATGAAAATAAATTTTTTGTTATTGGTTTCACACGAAAGGGTAGATGAATTTGGAAACCTATGGTTTCACTAGCTATAATTAGATGTGCTAGCTAATTTTTGGCTAAAAATTAATTAGTAATTAATGATTATGACTAGTTTAGTAATTTTCTCTATCATTATTATAAAACAAGAATAATAAAATGCGTCCAAATATTATTACGTTGAAAACTCGTGTTATTATTAGGCTAAATGGAGTGGGTCTCGCTAGTAAGGTCGCCATGGGTCGCCAAGGGCGCTTAACACCGCCCCTTGGCTAGCGCCAAGGGGTCGCCAACGAAGCCTCGCCATCCGGGTTTTGTTCATCATTTTTACATCTCGATTTAATTTTCTATTCCATTATGCATCTCTATTGATTCGGTTTTTGTTCTTCATATTTCAACGAATTAGCAACTCCTATACTCTATTTTTGTGATTTATGTGTCTGATTTATGCAATTTACCGTTGTCTTTCCATGGTGCTTAGACGAACACCAAGTTCTCGATGAAATTCCTCAATGAAATTCCTCAAATATCATTTATTTTATATGTAGCATACAAAACTTAACTCATGATGTTTTTTTTTTTTTTTTTTTTTTTTTTCTTTCAGTGGTTATTGAAGCTGTTTTCATTGATATTATTTAGGTAGCCATGATCAGTCTTTGGCATCTGCTGCATGTTTTTACAGGAGTAATTCAAATATATGCATTCAATTGAGGGTGTTGTTGCAGTCAATGATAAAGATATTCTTGAAATTTTAATCCATTGATGGTTGGATTGCATGGTTGGATATCTAGATTTATGTTTACATTGATACTTCTGTATTGACTTTAGCCTTGTGGATGTGAAAGAGAGGTGAGGGGTTTCCGAACAATCATTTGTGATTGTGTTTATCTTTTGATCAAATTTATCATCTTCTTGTTATTCTGTTCTTTTGATTTCATTACATCTCAATATCTATTTCCCATCACAATTTGTAACGTGTGGATCACAAATATGCTTCTATTCCAAATTTGTTTCGGTATTAAAATAAATAAATTAAATTAAATTAGAAAAATGCATATGTAATATTAAAAAAAAAATGTTTGTTTATTAAAATAAAAATCAAATTAAATCAGAATTTTTTTTTTACAAAAAATAGAATGCTAGGAGTTACTGCCTACAAAATGTTAATCTAACGGAGAAAAATGAGATGACACATAGAAAACAGCTACTCCCCTTAGTCTTAGTATATATAATAATAAAATGCGTCCAAATGTTATTACGTTGAAAACTCGTGTTATTAATAATATATAGTTTATTTTGCTTGCAAATTACCCGGATACCCGTTCATTCTTTACAAAAAAAAAAAACAATGGAGTGTTATTCGAATTAAACAAATAAAACTGAAAAATTAAGAGTACGGGTGTGAGTTAACGATAAAACTCTAAAAGCTGAAAAAGAAATACAGATCTTAATGGCCTTGAGTAAACGGCGTTAGTGAGCAGTAGGAGATTAAGAGCAGTAGGGTCTTTGAGACTTTGACTGGTGAGGCTATACGAGTTTTTAACCATATAAGTGTTTTTGAAAAAAATATTTACCCAATGGGTATTCTTTTAAACATATTTACTATAATGGGTTTTTTTTGGTAATTCAGTAAAAAAAAAAAAAAAAAAAACACCGTGCCCTAACTCATTCTTTCACAGCGTCGCTTTTACCTGCAGGAAGAAAGGCGCCCTTCAGCCAGACCTTCTTCTCCGGCCAGACCTTCTTCTCCGGCCGAACCGACGACTCCGGCGAATCCACTGCAGCCGACGACTCCAAGGCAATCGGAGGTTGCGACTTCACAGGTAAGAAGCACTCTTCAATCAGTTCAATTTTTTGAACTTTAATCTTCAATCACAGGTTCGATAATCAGTTAAAGAAACGATTCTATTGTACCTTAATGTTCGATTTCTGTCTTTTTTTTTTTGGATTTCCATCACAGGTTCGAATTTTTGAACCTTAATCTTCAATAGCCAATTGTTTCTCTATTTTGTTGTTGTTACTGAAACTTTTGATTCCAATTGTAATAGTTTTCACCACAGTTAGGATTTATTGTCTACATTTGTGAGTATTTGAAATTTTCTGTGAATGCAATTAGATTCCATTCCATCACAGATTCACATTGAACGAAATTTTAGTGAATGAAATTAGAATTGCTTGAATTAAATTAAATTTTCTTGAAAATTTGAGTTTTAGTTTATGTTATGATTGTTTGTTATGTTATATTTTTTGGTAGATAGATGCTAATGTCATATCAGACATTGTTCAAAATGAGAATTTCTATACAATCTCTCAAGTTGCAGTGGTGAGCAATGCAATAACAAATGACAATGAAGCTGATGCAAATGAAGTGCTTGAAGAAGATGGCATAGGAGAAGAAGATGATGAAGACGCTTTTGACAACAACTTTCAAGTTCCTTCAACTTTTACTATTATAGAAGAAACGAATATGACCACCGTCAACAATTGGATTGTGACACAATTAGCGAGCAAAAATGATTTTACACAAGAGTTAGGGAAAGATTCTTTCAAGGACAAAGAAGAACTTATTAGAGCTATCAAGCTTTATAGTATTAGGACACATAAACAATTTGAGGTTGTTGAGACACGTCCAACTCTATGGACCATAAGATGCAAGTTACATTTACAATCCGGTTGCAAATGGCAAGTTCGTGCAATCAAACGAAAACGAAGTGGATATTTTGAAATTACAAAGTACATGGGTCCACATACTTGTTTATACAACAATATTTCGCAAGACCATCCAAATCTAGATGGAAGCTTGATAGCCCAGGAAACCAAACATCTAATTAAAGAGCAGCCTTCAATTAGTATTCCTGCGTTGAGAGCCAAAATAGTCGATAAATTAGGTTATATTCCTTCATACAAAAAGGTTTGGACCGGAAAACAGAAAGTGATTGAACAAGTATTTGGCAATTGGGAAGAATCTTATTCTGCTTTACCCAAATTTCTATGCGCAGTTCAAAAGTTCAATCCGGGGACTATAGTCGAGTGGTTAGTTTCGAGCTCAACCAATGAAGAACCCATGGAATTTAGACGTGTTTTTTGGGCTTTTGCCCCTTCTATTAAGGGGTTTGTACATTGTCGGCCGGTGATTAGCATTGACGGCACACATTTGTATTGTAAGTACAAGGGAACGATGATGATTGCAATGGGAGTTGATGGTAATAATCAGATTTTGCCACTAGCATTTGCAATTGTAGAAAATGAATCGTATGATAGTTGGAATTGGTTTCTTTCTTATATCAAGATTCATGTGGTAAAAGAACGTGAAGGTATTTGTTTAATTTCTGATCGTCATCTTGGAATCCTAAAGGCGGTCAATCAACATGGATCGCCATGGTTAGAGCCACGTGGTTTTCATAGGTAATGTTTATAACACACATTATGTTTATTTTTTTAAACCTTTATAACTCACATTATTGTTGTTTATTTCATAGGCATTGTTTACGTCATTTTATCAACAACTTTTACGAGAAGTTTCGTAATTCAGAATTGAAAGGTCTAGCTTATCGTGCCGGGAGTCAAAATCAAGTTCGAAAATTCAACTCGACCATGGAAGAAATTGGGAAGCTAAATCCACAAGCTAGACAATGGCTAGAGAGTCATCCACTTGATAGATAGACACTTGCACATGATGGTGGGAGGAGATATGGGTTGCTCACAACAAATTTGTCAGAGATTTTTAATAGTGTCCTTAAAGGTGCCCGTTTTTTACCAATCACGGCTTGTGTCCAACTTACTTTTTATAGATTGGTGCATTACTTTGAGGTGAGACGCCCTTTAGGAAACAGTTCACGGGCTAATGGAGATGCATATACCCCTCATGTTCTTGTCAAACAAGTAGCTTTGATGTCAAAAGCAAGTGCACATTCCTTGAGATCTTTTAATCGAGAGAAAGGTATATTTGAGTTGATAACTCAAAGAGGAAGAAATGTGCAAGTAGTTAATTTGGAGCAAAAAACTTGCACATGTGGTAAGTGGGAAGTGTTTAAATATCCTTGTTCTTATGTCTTGAGTGCATGTGCCACACTTTCTTTGAATAGTTGGCAATATGTTGATAAATGTTACTCAATTGTAAAATATTGTGATACTTGGGCTTCCGAATTTTCCCCACTTCCTCATGAAGCGTATTGGCCACAATCTTTGTTTAAAGAATTACTTCCAAATTTTGAGCTCTTACGGAATAAAAAAGGTCGTCGCCGCTCAACAAGACTTCGAAATGGAATGGACATTAAAGAAGGAAGAAAAGCGAACCTTTGTGGAATTTGTAAGCAAAGTGGTCACAATCGAAAAAAATGCCTGTCTAAACCAAGGTAAATTAAGACATTCAACAATTTTTCATTTGTATAACTTTATATCTTATTTTTTATATCTTATTATTTTTTATTTTTTTGCAGATAATGGTTATCGAATCAAAGTTATTTGGAATGTTTCTTATTTTCTTTTGTCTTTAGTAACATATTGTTGGGTTTGTACTTCAAATATTTTAGTGTTAGATGCTCTTTGTGAGTTTAAATTTAAAAAATTATTGGTTGATCTAAATTTTAAAAGTTGTTTCTTGATTTTTACAAGAAGATTTGTTAGTTACATGATGTTTGTAAAAAGCAATTAATAAACATTAAAAGCAAAGAAAAATAAAAAAAAATAATAAAATTATATTAAATAAATAAAAAATTAGTTACAGTGAAACATAGAATTTACATATAAAATGGTTTTAATTTGCGGTGCATGTCCTGGTAGGAAAGAAGGAAAAGGAAAGGATTACATGATTTAAAAAATAAAATAAAAAGGTAAATAACCCTATATGGTAAATATGTTTAAAAGTATACCTGTTAGGTAAATAATTTTTTCAAAAACACCTATATGGTAAAAAACACGAGGCTATACGGTTATTTGACGGCGAAAAGATTTGCAGTGCAGCCTTTTAGTACGAAACATAGTAAAATTTTCAATAACTTTTTTTTAACAAATATAAATATATATATTATGTAAATGTCATGTTATTTTATTTTATTTTTGAAAACGTATAAGAGCATTCGAATTTTAATATTTTCTATTTTTTTACTATTTATACAATTTATTGAAAATGTTTTTTTTTTGTTTTTTTTATTACAATGTAAAGTACAAAAAATAGTTATTTAGTGAATTCATAACAGTAAACCAGGATGTCGATGTCCAGTTGTCCTTTAAAAAAAAGTTGGTCGAATAATAATAATTGAACGTATATGCTTTTTTTTAAAAGAGAGCTCTTGTACATGTTGGTAAAAAATATTATGAAAAACCGTATTGTTTGGGAAGGATTTGTTGACTTGATAAGTTATAAGTAATATGTTGTTTACCGATACCAAATGACTTGTAACCTAACAATATTTGATGTATTGAAATGAACTTCGGGTCTATTGATTTTGAGAGTCCTGTGGGAATAGTAAGAAAATACACTCCTAAATAAAAAAGAAACAGATTAATTAAAAAACCTATGAGAGATTAGTAAGAGCAAAGATCTGAACGCTGGTTGATTAGTAAAGGAAAAACAATATCAATATTTTTAGCGTGACCACTTAAAAGAAAGTGAATACACACTTTCCCTAATTCGACTGAGCTATAAGAAATTTGATAAAATTGTTACATAATTGATAAATATTATATAAGAACCTACATAAATTTGCTAAACATCGGGCGTTACTTTTTTTAGGGTCTTGTGCGGTCGCACACCCTACACCCCTTTTAGGGTCGGGCCTGATGAACTGTTCCTTCCTTAAGTGGTTGAAAATTTAAGTGTTGTGATTGACAAATGTATAGAATTCGGAATAGAGTTAGTATGAGTGTGTGTTTACCGTTATATATATATATATATATATATATATATATATATATATATATATATATATATATATATATATATATATATATATATATATATATAGAGAGAGAGAGAGAGAGAACACGGTGGAGATTTGTTAAAAACTATAAAGAAGTTGGAAAGAAACCAATATATAGGACCACAAGATAAAGAAGTGTTATGAATCGAACAAACTGAGGGTGATTTGGACTTCCTGCACCTATTAAAAATCCAAAAATAAGACCTATCAACCACATCATACAAAATAGAAGATTTCCTAGGAGCACCCATGCCAAAAACAGTGGAATTCGTAAAATTCCAGATAACCCCAAAATTAGTAATAAAAACAGCATCAAATGCCTTTCGAGATCCTGAACGAAGTCCGGTCGAATTAGACCAACAAACAAGAGACTACGTAGAGAGATGTGTAGGAATCTGAACACCCCCACCATATACTATCTGAGACCATAAATCTAGTAACTTCGAGGAATCAACAAAAAATGTTTCATCGACTCCACCGATCTTGAGCAGATAGGGAACATACTCGACTCACCATAATACCACTGTAAGAAAGACGTTCCCTCGTAAGAATACACATCAAACTAATCCACCACATCATGAGGATGTTCAACTTGATAGGAACCAAATTATTCCATCTAGTCTCATAACTCCTATTAGGGAGAGAATTTCTATCCAAGAAAATGTAAGCAAAAATGGAAGAGAAACAATATGACACATCAAAAGACCACCCAATCTATCTGAACGATCCGACAAGTAAACTCCCTGCATCAAAACTAGAATGGCTTCCCATTGGGAAAGCTCAAACCACTCCTCGGATGTCTCCTAAGAATCTCCGGAGACCAACCCAAGGAAAAACAACCTGCGACTAAAATCTCCTTATTAAGTTCTACGGTTGATGTCAGTCACTAAATCCTAACCCCAAACCATCTCCCATGCTAGAAACTAATCTTCTTACCATTACCAATACACAGAGGACAAAAATCCTAAAGATCTAAACCTCGGTCCCTCCACTACCGAATGGATGTAATAATGTCACTCCAAGGACAAAGATGAGACCTGTAAATGAGTTAAGAATTACAAAAACCATCCTCACCATCATATCTTTCACAACTATAATCCATAAGGAGTCCATAATATGAGATAACCTCCACATCCATTTGAATAAAAGAGCTTTATTAAAGGAAAACAAACTACCCACTCCCAAACCCCATTCCATTCTGCTATCCATAACACGATACAAACTAACCCAATGCATATGCCTCTTTCCCAAATCAGCACCCCAGAAGAACCAAGGTTGTGATATCTCTGAATATCTTCAAAAGGGGGACAGGGAAAATAAACATAAAATAAGTCCTAATGGATCCAAGAACCGATTTCAACGGCGTAAACCAACCACTAATATAGAGAGACTTTGCTTTCCAAGAAGAGAGTCTCTTAGAAAAACGATCCAACAACCCCGACCGCGAGAAACCCTCAACATAGTCTGACCAACCACCATAACTAGATGCAAACATGGTAAGGATGAATCCTTACACCCAACCATAAGGGTTGTGGTCACACCCCCAGACCTCGGATGGCGGAAACATCCGGGGGAGCGGACTTAACGAGTAGTATCATGACCATAATTACAACAATGAACACAGTAAATACAACCAATCATATATATATATATATATATATATATATATATATATATATATATATATATATATATATATATATATATAATCGAAAAAGTTACATAATATCCAATGTTTACATGTTTCAAAATCGATTACAATATGATGTAAAATAAGTTGTGGGACATCGAAGCGTCCTTTTCTTCAAAAGCCTGCAGTTACCTGATCTCATATGTTACCTGAGAATACAAGTAATTTTGAAAGAATGTTAACAATAAAGTTGGTGAGTGCATAAACTTTTGATTTGCATTTGAAAACCTTTGTTCAAGAAAATCCAGTATTTCCTTTATAAAAATGATGCGCAACCTCAAATTCCAAGGTTGTGGTGCATAAGTAAATCGTCATAGTTATGATGTTCTAAGTGATTTTTAAACCGAAAAGTAATGCGCAGTCTCAATTTCCATGAATGCGGTGTATAAGCAAATCGACATGCTTAAGAGTTGTAAGTGGTTTTAAATCGAAAACTGGTGCACAGTCTCAATTTCCAAGACTGTGGTGTATAAGTAAATCGACATACTTATAGTGTTATGAGGGGTTCTAAATCGACATAGAACCCATGTTTAGTGCTGAACTCCTGTAAATTAAATCTCGCTAACTCCCTATGTGAGTCTCTATAACCATGCTAAAGACTAGTGTGACTTGATATGCGACGTTCTTCAGGCGTCGGTATGTTATGACATTTGTCATCCCTAGCCTTCCAGCCGAGCTGTTGCAAATAGCTTGGATTCGGGGCGTCACCCCCAATATTGATCTATACACAACTATCACGCTCTCCCTACAAGAGACTCTGGTTATAACTGTCAGGAATTTTTCCAGCGCCCTAAGGGGTGCCAATGAAGAGTGTCTCATAATTTACGCTAATCGAGTCTACGGGTAGTGTGTAAGCAAAACCTCGTGATTTATCATAAAAATCCGATTTCGCATTGCAAACGTAATGTGGAAAACCGTTTTCTGTACCACTTTATGATATATTATGTGTGTTTTGAATTAGTTGGACATGTTGCATCTGATTACTGATAACGTAAGAAATGCATTTGACACATAGAAATATTTAAATGCACCTTGCTCGACATACTACAAGGTGGTCGTAATTTGTAAAATTGTTTAGTAATTCATAACCATTTATCAAGAGTTTAAACATGTATTATCCCCCAATAAAATCGATAAAATGTGAAAATGTAGGGGTATGAATTCACCTTATGTGATTTGACATGAACGAAAGAGTGGTTCTCCGGCTGGCTGCTTGGAGAAGCAAAGCTTGATGGTTTGAAGCCCAAGAACTGGATGAAAGCTTAATATTCTCCTGGGAATTTCCTTTGAGTTTAGAGTGAATAATAGGGTAGAGAAAGGTGTGTTTGAAAGGATATTAATGGGGTTTTATAGGGAATGATTCCAGTCTTAATGAGTGGACTGGTTAGGTAAGTCTGATGGAGTGTTGGGGAAAATATTTGATTACTTTAGGTACTATGGGAAATAGTGCCCTACAGTAATCATAGAGTGGTTATGGGGATTAGGTTGTGTCATAACTTTATGGAGAAAGTCAACCGTCCCTTGGATAAAATCTTATACCAAAGATATGGGTGTGAAACTGAGGTTTCTCCAAGTCATAATTATGATAAGGGAATTTTTGGAAAAGATGATTATATTTTATTCTTGAGGATCTGAAACGTTGGAAATATAAAAAGGGTGGGAGGGACTCGTCCATAGTCGGGGATACTTAAGAATTTATGGGGGTCATTATGAGTCCGACACCACTCGCAAATCCGGAGTCGTCTACAAATCTGGAATGGCGCTGGGTCCTCAGGGGCCACGGTGTTTGACTGTGGATCTTTTTGTGGAGAATTGGTCCTGGGTGGGTTTGTAAAGGTTCATGGCATTCTGGATTTCGGGTCTTGCTCCCCTTCGAAGGTTGGGACAATTTGTGGTAG